AAGTCATCATTTCAGTGGCCTGTTCCATCAAGCTATCCTCAGAAGAATAGGCCAAGATCCTCAGAGATGAAGTCTACTCTAAATATGGAATGCCACAAGTAGTCATCTCAGATCATGGGCCACAATTCATATCCAAGTTTCTTGATGACTTGTATCAACTCCTCAGGATCTGAAGCAATGTCTCTACTGCATACCATCCACAGACAGATAGACAAATAGAGTATATCAACCAAAAGCTAGAGAAGTACCTGCATATGTTCATTAACTATAGACAGAATGACTGGACAGAATGGCTGGCACTTGCCAGCTTTCAACATAATAACCATGTCCACTCTGTCATAGGTAAAACCCCTCTCTTTGTCAATTATAGGCAACACCTCAAAATCACTGTCACCACCTATTCTCATACCACCACACCCACTTTCCTCAACTTCACTACTGAAATGGTGAAAATCCACATCAAAACACAAACTACACTTAAAAAGGCTGAACTGCAATGAAAACTCAATATGACAAACACTGATGTATGGCACATAACTATGCTGTTAACAACAAGATATGGCTTGACATGATCAATCTTCATCTTTTACACCCTAAATAGAAGCTCACTGATAAGTGGACTGGACTCTTCTCCATTCTATCAAAGATTGGCACTTTCACATATAAACTCTGACTTTCCACCTCATAGTGCATCCATAACACCTTCAACAAATCTCTCCTGACTCCTTACATTGCCTCTGTCTTTCCAAGCCAGGAATGACTGCTGCCATCTCTATCTGATCTCATCAACAATGAAGAGCATTACAAAATAGACTAAGTCTCCAATCATAAGACACAGTGAGTAAAAGCACAAGGCAGGGGAATGACAACAATCATAGATTATCTAGTCAGCTGAAAAGGGTATAGACCAGAATCAAACCAGTGGGTCAACAAGAAGTGAATGAATGCAGATGCAGCTATATATGAGTACAAACTATCTCTAAATTAAGCCATCAGGATGATAGTTTTAAAGAGGGAGTAATATTATGATTTTCCATCTTTTTTCTTTTTTACCCCTATTTATGCTTAGTCAGGGCATCTAGACCAGCACTTAGAACCATGAGACAGTCTTGGTCAGCACAAAGGCTATTGTCTCATGACACATAACAATATTCTGACAACAAGACAACTAGACTTTTATAGATAACCATGACACTCCAGAATAACAAGTATCATAGCACAGACATTCACAATTAGTAATGCTATATTTATCTAAGAGATAAACAGTATATAAATAGCATAGATAGCACCATGTATTCCTGGTCTCAAACTATCCTTAAATCTACCATTCTATCTCAAGTCAACTAGTATTGACTTTGAGGCATAATACTAGACTCCACATATAGTGAACTCAGGTGTGATTGTATGAACACAATACAACACTTGTTTATCATGTGGTTATAGTCATGAGCTATCTGGGCCTAACATATTTCTTAGTTCAGTAATGTGTTCAGTGTCAATAATAACTTTTTTCTATAGTTAATTTTTGTATGCATAATAATTCAATCTAGTTTCACACTTGCTAAAGCCAGAAAATATAGATGTCACATTATTTCAATGACTAAAATTGTTTTTAAGATGCATAATATATTTCTATGACTTTTCTTTTCTATCATCTCATCAAATAGATGCATGCATAGAGACTCTACCAGTTACTATATCTGCTCAAATCTCACCAGTCATCACACCATCCTGTGTCAACAGAATTCTAGTCTCATATCATACTCTATCAATACCACTTTCTCTCAGTGACCTCTGCCCTTAGTGATCTCAACAATGACTATGATGATATTTGCTGACTCCAGTGACATTTACATCTCTCACTATGCAAACACTTCCACATTAAAGTTGCAACTCCACAATAAACTATAGACATGGTTCTCTGAGTACTCAGATAAGCTGAGAGAAAGAAGTAGGTAGTGTAAGATCTGATTTGAAGAATGAGATTGATTGTAGAGCCTCTCTAAGCAAGTGTAAAGAGCTGGCTTACAAGTTTAATAGAGTCTAAAGTATATGCTGCTGATATTGTTGGACTATCTCCTTAAGCTGATGATAGTCATAGATGTGGCCAAAGACTACATTAAACTTGAAGAAATTCTGAAACTGGAATCTCTCCAGTGAGCATGACATCCTGATAGACCTCCAACCACTGTTAGAGATGAAGCCATCACTAGAGAGCAACTAAAATCTGTATGCTTGATGGCTGACAAGAATCATGTGCATAGTCCTACTAATGCTAAAAAGGATGCCAAAATTTAGCAAGAGAAGCCTACTACTGATATGCTGGGAAATAGCTAAGTGACTAAGAGAGATAAATAAGGAACAAGCTCTCAAACATCTACATTTACCTACTTAATGCACAATCACCAAAAAAAGTGAGTTTGGTGGTTTGAGTATAATAAAGGCACTCTACAGACTCAGATAAATCAAATATGATGATATAAAGACAGTTAATTCAAGGCTAGTTCATGTTCTAAAATGCAATACTTGAAAAGGGGGTAGGAATATAATATGGTATGTGAATTGAGGCTTGAACTGCAGAGCTACAGTGCTCAGCTTGACTTAGAAAACTCCAAAACCCAACAAATGCTGAAACCCAATATTAAGTCTCTGAAGCACTGAAACTTGGCTAGCTGCATCTGTGGCTAGCTAGTGGTCCTCAAAACCAGAGAACTGATACTCAGATGCTGAAACTCTTATTAAGCTAAAATCCAAATCATGCTAAAACTCAAAGTCCAGTAAAGACTTCAACTTTTTATTCAATACAGGTGACTTAGCAATAATAGCTATCCAAGTTGAGATTACACATAAAATCACTGGTACAGGAACTAACTACTGAGAACTAGAATGCCTAAATTACAGAGGTGAGTTGCCTGCTACATGATTTCCCTCCATCCTGCTTTTATACATAACTAACTGATACAAAATCTATAAATAATTTAGTCCAGTTATTCACTTCACTTGATTAGTTCTAAAATTAGGTCATTATCCCATCTTGACACATCTCATATATCCTTTTCAGGCACTCTAAGACTCCTTCAGTATCCCATTCCTATAGCCCATGATTATTTATTATATAATTTATCATCTTATAGTTCTGCTTATTACTTCTAGACTTGCTATTGATCACAATTAATCAATCATGGTGATCCAAGACAGCCAAGCTCCCCAGTTGTGGCACATTCCCTGAACTATGTGCCTCTTTAATTATTTATACTTGAGGAATTCTCACCACATGCATTTTACATCAGACTAGGTGTGTTAGCCATAGGCTAATAAGTTCTGCTTTGCTTTTACTTCTGGTTTGGATGCTAACTGGATGTACTTTACTGCTAATCATAGTAATAAACTCCTGAGCTAGACTATAGTATACCAGCCCTGATGGCATGTAGAATTGGCTCAAACATAATACTGTTTCTAAATCCAAATTGACTTGGTATTTTATCATGGTGGTGTTATCTCTCTAAGTCCAGTCTTGACTTCAAGGTTATTAACTCAGTGCAAAGTTGTTTTGGCTAAGTCCACATTGATCCTTAGCCTTCTTAGCATAGTATGGCTATCAGCTTAGAGCCTCAGTTATAGCTCTTGAATAGCTAGCCATACAGACTTCAGCTTATGTGAATATATTGTTTAAAATTTGAAAATTTTAGAGCTAGCCTGACACAATATGTATCACACTAAGAGAGATGAAGATCAGAATCACTTAAAATTTGTGGACTCAGCTCATTTGACTGCAGAAAGCAAAAACTCATTGGAATGAGATAACACCTGAGATAACTTTGAATGGGTAAAATCTGTTTATAGTGAGTATAACCCTTGAGTCTCAGCATAATGCTGTTGATCAATATAATATAGATCAAGATCTGAAATACCTCTATTTGAAGATGTCTCAGCTATAGGAAAAAGAATTTATCATTTAGCCAGACAAACATGATGAGAAAAATAAAATGAACTGAGAATTTAAAGAGAGAATAGATGCTAGAATTATGAGTATCCAGTTTGACTTAAATGAATGCAATAGAGAGAGGTAAGATGAGTTTTTGGAGGGGCTCACAAGTTATGAAAATCCTTGCTTCATTATGAATCTGCACTATACTTATATATGGGTATAACCATCAACTATATGGATTGCATGCAGATATGGATATCCCATATCTGCAACCATACAGAAGACATCTAAGAGCTATACAGGTCAGTATGGTAATAATTCTGTCTGTATTATAGATATATAATCATACCTTAGTCCTATACTTAAAGTATATATCTAACACTATAGTGCAAAATTTTCCTTATCCTTATTGTTAGCTAGAAGTTTCTTAACAGTGTTGTGAGTGAGTCAAAGCCTGTGCTTGACTAGCATCAGAATATAAATAGTATAAGGCTTTAACTATACTCATTGCAAAGAAATAGTATCTTTACTTTCAGAAAACACATGCTCTACTGCTACTATAGAGCCTGGAATTGAGCACAATGTTAGCATGTATGTCACATGAGCTAGTATACAATCATCCCTGAGATTAATAATAAATCATAGGCAAGACAATACAGTTGCAGAAAGTCATGACAGTGAATGCACCATCAATTCACCAGATTAGTGTTATAGAAATTCTCCTTTGAGAGAGAACAAGATCATTCAAGCTTATCAACAGTGACTGTAGAGTTGTCATCATCATTATATTGAAATGTGAAGTCATCTTTTGAGAAGATCCATCAAGGAATATAGATTCTGATGGTTTAACTGCTAGAGATGATAGAGTATCACAAAGATTAGATATAGTGAAAGGATAGTGGCAGTCAAAGTAGTCCTATAAAAGCTGTTTTGAACTTTTGAGATAAGTATTGAGATCAGCATCATTTTTATAGTCTCACTTTAACCCTTTGGTGTATGAGATCTATGAATTGAAAACTATGGAATGGTTAGTCTTCTCACATTATATAATAATTGATCACTTATGAGCAGCTCATATGTAGAATGGTGATTTATCATATTTGTAGTAACCACTGAGTTTGCAGTATGCATCTAACAGGCCCATCTTTAACTCAGGAGGCATAATTGGAGGAGGAGTGGCTATAATCCTCTTCACACCATCTTGGAGATCCCAAAAAACAGCATGAGTCATCAAGAGTATCAGCTTAGTTGTTGTCAATATCTCTGTTATGGCTGAATGAAATGCTTTTAACTATTTTGTGACCATAGAGATTGCCTCCTAGTCATCATTTGAAAGCTGAAGGGAGCATAGTTCTTGATTGATGATGATAAATTGGTCAACCACAGCATGATATTTGAGAGCATAGCCTGAATGGTAGCTTAGTATGATTTAATGTAGTATTAGAAGAGAATAGATACTCATAAAGCATTTAATGAGTAGAGAACCACTATATTCTTATATAAAGAATGAGCATATGTGCTTCAGTACTCACTGAACATATGGCAGCAGTGGCCACACCTACTATTTGCTGATACTATGCTTGTCAATGCTAAGGACTTGACCATATAGCTCAAACAATCTTTTGAAGCTAATTTGAGTTAGAACATAGTGTGCACTGGAGTTGAAAAATTTCTTACCTTCAACACAATATTTTTCAGGCTTGATGATTTCACTGAGGATTCAAAATTATCAGAAATCTCAGAGTCAGCTTCCTCATCTAGCAATACAGCCTTATCATCATGAGAAGGACTAAGTTGTTACATATAGAAATAGTATGATATGAACATGTTTACTTACTTATTTGATATTCTTTTCTTTTTTGGCATGTCATACCATTCTGCACATCTCAGCTTTCAACCATAATGCTGAGACTAACATTACAACATTCTATTCTAGCATCTATTCTCTTCTGAATCTTTTTTCTCATTCACCACATCTGTGCTTCTATCTCATTAACTCCAACAGATTATGGGCTCTGCTACTAGCATGTCCATGACAACTGAATACTATTTCATTGACTTTGGATTTTCTTGTTGTTATGATTCAGAAAAGCTCCCATGTGACATCTCCATTGCTGCAGGTGACAGATCTGCCTTGGAATTTGCTGAGATCCATGCCAATCATGATGCTAAAATCAATCCATTCCCTCTTAATGTGTACTGATTGAGCAATATAATACAGAATGATTTCAAAATAGTGGGTTCTCTCTCTATCTTCTTCATCACATCTTGATTGACTTGGAACACCAGTGTGATCATCCACCCTTACATTTTCTTCTGCCACTCATTAATGACATGACTTAAGATGACCCTTGTCTGCAGTGTACAATTAGTGAGGTTATAACTTGCTTTGCAAGACTTCATAATTCATTGATGAAATCACAGTTGCATGTGCCAGGTCCTTATGCTGCTGGCATTTGTCAGCACATTTGGCAAATGAAGTATTCTTTGACTTTTGTACCACCCCTCCCTATCACAGAGTTCCCTGAGTCTGTAGCTACCACTGAACCCACACTTTGCACATTCTACACCCTCATGCCATGAGTTGTTCAGGAGTGTCAGGATGCAGAGGCTGCTTCTACCTCATCTGACTCATTGGGTAGTTCCTAGAATAATCTAATTTCATCTAAATCCAAACCCATGACTCTATGACTCTGAGGCTCTAGGACATTCCTCATTACTCACCATATCTGAGAATGTCAATTCAGACCCTTGATCAAACCATTTCAATCTTCACATTGGGCATGCACTGGTCCATCACATTCCCCAAGTCAAAAGGGTAGGAATGAGGTGCTGTAATACATCCTGTGGCTGTATGTTCCTTTGGTATGTGATAAGCTCAATGAATTGTCTTCGACTGCATAAGTACATCTCTCCAATATATGAAGTCTTGGAACAGATGCTGAAATGTCCACATCTCTGACAGCAAACATTTCATTTTGATACTTCTTCAAGATATCATTCACAGCAAGAGCATCCAGGCTGTGAATGTTTGATTGGATGGTCACGGTACCATGTTCTTTTGAGCTCTTAAATTTATTAGAGGCTCTGACAATGCTTATGATAGTCGTACTAATGGATAAGAATCCAACACTCCATCAGATGGTATCTGTATCGATAACGTCAATCCATGTTCAGCCAATTCCATATTCACCGGTACTAACTTCCGTACGTCACAACATCTACACCATATACTTCTACCGGGGTTGTATTCCTTCCTGGTATATTATCTTGTTTGTTCTGGCCTCTTTTCATCTGATACTACCTGAACTTATTTGAATAACTTATACCATAACCGAGTCAAATTTTCTTTATTTCACTTCTTATACAGCATCACGACACGGACCGGATTAACCACGCTCGCCTTCTCAAGTATTCTGGTCAAATTTGGGTTACAGGCACTCGAATTTTCACAGTGTTAATGTGTCACATCGTAATCCATTTGTGGTCCTAATGACTCGAAATCCAGAACGATCTTTATTTTCCAACGGCCAAAGATATTTAAGCTCCCATCTCAGTCACTTCAATCAGCCAAACGGCATTCCTTCATTTGACCTTCTCGCACTTCACAAGACACCATGAGCAAACGATCAAAACTATCCCTTAATGCTGCAAAGAACATTCATCGTGGTAGCACCATCCTTGAACAAGGCGCTCTGGCAGAGATTGAAGCTAACCGTGATCGGAAGGCTTGGAACCCCACCTTTGCTGAGGGCATAGAGCATATCTACCAAAAGTACGCCGATTTCCTCCCCTCTCCTGAGTATCTAATATCATTTGGACCTCAAGGACATCAAAGAGGGGTTATAAACTCACACAGAAAGTGGTCGACAACCCCGTATCCTCATCGATCAATCCTATGGTCATTGTTCAAAGTATGAAATACCCTGGTGCAGCGTCTGCCGTTACCAAAAGAGCCAACGTAAATAATATCTTGTTCATTACGTGTTGCAACCTCATCAATTTGTTCACAGAAGCTGTCTTCGGAGTTGCAAGTGAATCCAATAGAAGGGGACTGTACGAACTTGATTTACCGTTGTAGGGAGCACTGAGCTAACGCATCTTTCAATTCACAGATGAAGATGAGTGAGTTTTGTTCCCAATTCCAAAGTTTTGCAAACCTGACATAGTGGGAATAACATCTCGCTAGTCGGTCTCTATTGTACGTCTATATTATATGAGCGTTTTGTATACTGACTCAGTCTCGATGCTAGGGACCAAAGCAGATCATGGGTAAGTTCATTCCCTGAAGTGATATCGCAGATACTGAAGTATATGGGTTGGCAGAGAAAGAAGGAAAAAAGGTTAGGGATCAACCAACCAGGCCTTGAACCATACCAACCTCCACGGTGAGTTTCACTACTGCTAATATTCGTCTTTATCTCTTTTCCAAGGGATCCCCAAAGCTCTTCTTTGCTGGTTCCAGTCCCTTACAATGTCAACTATCCGATGAACCAGAGCGGTGGCACAGCTGCCGGTGGCCATCAGCAATACCAGCAGGTACTGCACCGAGGCCAACGCGAACTTTCTACGTGTCCAACCCTGACTCTTCACGACACAGTCAGTCTGACACGAGCTCTTCTTCAAATTCACATCGTCACTCAGGGCACCACCAAGCCGGGTACTCTGGAGAGGAATGACATAACAATACGAATACCTATGTTCCGTTTGCAGTTCCTCCGGCGGTGCACCCTAACGTTGGTTTCAACGGTCAATCTGGACCTTCCAACTTAACGCCAACAGTGTCAGCAGCCACCATACTGCAACCCACTTTACCCACCTATGCTGTATACGACCCTAATGGGCCGCCGAATTATTGGATTCCCCGTGGGATAAACCCGTAAGTATATCATTGTCCGCACGATAAGAATGAGCCTGTCCTTCAGTATCCCAAAGTGATGTGGCCACGCTGACAGCACCCGCCGGAAGACATTGATAATCTTATTGAATGAACAATCCTTGAGCTAATGGGTGCGGCCATCTGTACTTTTTATGTTTTGGCTAAACGCGTAATCTAGTATACCGCATTTCTTCCCTGCAACGACACACATTTGTCAGATCCTGTCCATCGGCCGTCAATTCACTTCGGCCCATCCTATTCAAATGAAATTCGAGTACGTTCGATCTACCCTCAGCATCACCAAGGCGTGATGAGTCGACGCGTTAGTCAAAAAACGGCAATGAGGCTTTCCAAGTTCAATCAAGCAGTCGTCTTTCCTTCACTTACCACCATTCACTGCACAAACTACCCCGCCTTTCGTAATGATTTCCACTCTAGAGATAAACCTCGCCCTCCACCATACCTTCACTGATTTTTACTAGAAACAAAAGACAAGAGCCAAGGCATCGCCCAGGGGAGAGACAGTGAAAAGCCAAATCTCTGCAATGCATGGGTCTTTTTTACTTCTGGAAGTGCATCTCTCTGGTGTCCTCTAGCTCGTTACTCTATCATCCGGATAGGGCTGTAACCATATGGTCCGTTCATCCTTGTACTTGCTCTTCAGCCTCATGTCCGACACCCAAATAGGTCTTTCCATACGTACACATGTCTATCCAGTTTTGCTCCTCAATGCTCCAATAACATCGGGATCTCTCAACTGTTTGAACGTGAAAGAGCACCTACTTCTTGCTGGGCAGGACAGATAGTAAGTTTATGAATAGTAAAAGCATTTCGATCGTTGATGTTGTCTCTGGCACGGACGTGGCGCCATCATTGCTGACGAATGATCTGATATATTATTGTCTTTGCCCCTTATCGTCATGACGATTGTATATATTTATGGGTCTCTATAGGTCCAAACGTCCGCGGCAGCAAAAACTGAACAGACGCGACATCATTCGATCGCGCCGGCGAAGATACTGACTGAAAACTCACACGGAAGTGTTACATTTAATTCCGTTCAATTTGGTGCTGGCTGCTACTATTCCATAGATAATATCGAAAGACGCACGAATGGAATAGCCTAAGGTAACGACTAAATAGACTGAAATTTGTGTATCATAAGCGGCTCGCCTGTTGAAAACTGCTTGGGCATGAGAGTACCCATCCTATGCTGTTAAACCGGTCTACCTTGGATCCAAAGTACCATCTGCTTTTGGATTGACAACATTTGCTATGCGAACGCTTACCTGGGATGGTAAACAAAGTCAGAAGAAATGAGAGGAATGACATGCATGTTGTCTGCTGTGATTATGTGGCCAGCCATCTCACTCCAATGGAAAATGGTTGTCTGAGACAAAGACCACAGTCTGATCATTGGCAGTTATCGATGACTACCGGGCCAATGTGGGCAGGAACTTGAAGGGCAAACATGTGTTCTGGTCATCT